AAATTTAAAATCGCGGAAATTAAAATAATTCCTACGTTTCTCTATGGGTGCATCCTGACATAGCTCGATAGCCTGTGCATAAATGTTTGAATAACATTTAAAAATTGAAGACTGCAATCGTTTACTTTGAAACATTATATTTACCTATTATTTTTAATTTTACGGGTTTCTATAAGTTTTTAAATCTATTTTGATTATGTTTTTGATATTGTTGTGCTGGTACTATTAAAATTTTTCCTTTTGAGCTTTTAGAACATCCTTCTTCATACCTTCTCACTTTTATACATATGCAGAGATTTTTAAAGATTTGGGTATGCTGGAGTTTAATCTAGTTAATTTATATATAATTTTTAGTTTAAATTGACTAGCACAAGTACTTTTTCTTCGGCTTCATCGTGCGAATGCGTCATTTGGAGCCGACTCCATTCGCTACCAGGGAACTAGGTGGCGCGACGCCACCACTACCCGAGTTTTGTGGTTGTGGCACCTGCGCCGTTGGCTGTGGTGCTTGGGTTTGGTTGGGCGGGGATCTGGAGATGGGCCCTCGCATGGTAGCTGAGAGTGGAATCCCCTGTGATACACTATGTTTGGTGGAGAGATCAGTGGATCTCGTTGTACCACAAATCTAAAACGAAATTAGTAACACATTTTTTATGGTATTTGCACAGGTTGTGTTAATCGCAGAGCTAATTATTGCAATTACCTACCTGATGGTGATGTTCCCAATCCTTGTGTTGGCAAAATGCACCGCAATAACGCGCTAAATTACATCCGGAACAGGTTTCAGTTGCTTTGCGCCCACAGTTCCAGCAAGCCTTCAATAAAGATTGGTACTGTGAATAAAATACTATTTTGTATGCCTTAAATTTCGTCGGCTTACGTTTTGTCCAGCTGTTATTGAGGGCGACTTGTTGTCCAACTCACGATCGCCTGAAACTGCTGTCACTGCTACTCCTGCTACTGCTGCATTTGAGCTGTGAACTACACTTGAGTGGCGACTCATCTCCACAAAGAACTTTTCCATGCGCAGGCGCTCCTGGGCCATCACTTCGGATGCGCGTGTTTCAGCTGCCACAACAGCGCGTTGTATCTCGATCACTGCTTGACGCTTCACCTAAGCACGTAAGAAACATTATTTAGCCTGACACGGAATGGGCTCAGAATAATTTAAAACTTACTTGGTTGACTGCTTCTTCGGCATTGCGTTTGAACTCGGCTACTTTCTCTTCCGTTTGGCGACGAATTTCGACCAGCGATGCCGGAGTCAGCTCACTGTAGTTGGGCTGCTGAGGCTCAACACCACGCTGCTGCAATATAGTTATGGCCCGTTTGGTTTTATCGACCATTGCTGATATACAATTGAGCATAGTGTGTATGTTCTTCCATTCCTCCTCCCCGCCGAGAGTCGCACTGCTACTACCACCACCGGTCCCACTGCCACTGGAAGTTGGGGGGCCGGTGCGTGGGGGATGTCGCTGCGAGGCAGGGTCGGAACCAGTGTTGACACGTAGGTCCCGCTCTTCTCGGTGATTTGCCTAACAATGTTGAGGGTCTTATGAAAAACCTTTAAAACCGTTGCCCCCCGGGTTATATTGCTTACCTTCTCCATTAGACTGTTGAAAGTGTTTTCCGAGTGAGTGACCGCTGACGCGTTGCCGGTCGCAGATGAGTAATCGAAAATCGTCGGTTGAGTGGCAAATGATAGCCGTGCTTCAGTAGATGCTGCACTTATGTGAGCAGAGTGAGCATGCAAAGCGCGCTTTGCAGGCGGATAGGCGGCCAAATAATCATTCCAGTCTTGTACTCCATTATGATGCTCCATCAAAGTGTCCGAAGCTCGTCGCTTAAAAACGAGGCTGGTGGTGCTTGCAGCATTTGAAGCCGCAGCTTGCGCTACAGCAGCCGCCGCTGCAGCCTGTGCGGAATCCATGTGAACAAACATGTCACTATATTCGGCTGAAGGTCCGTGTGGAGAGAACTCCATTACAACATTCTCATTGCTAGTGACGTATTGTAGTGGTGTCTGGAGATAGGGAATGCATAATCACAAATAAGCCGCTAAAAATAACTGAGTGTCAAGCAGAGTCTTACCTGATTTGTGACGCGTGCCAGTTCGGCGATCTCGCGTTGTAGCAGCGAAATATGATTTTTGAGCAATGGAATGACGTATGGACGCAGTGGTAAGTTAATGGTCTCTTGGAGCGTTTGACGAAACTCGTCAATACTTATGCTGCTACTGACCAAAGATAGCACTAGGGCGCGCACACGATCGCTCACTTCCGGATGAACCTCCTGCGCCAACTGCACTAGAGAACCGAGGAACTTGCGTATTTTACCTAGAAGACGCGACTGTTCGGCGTGTACTGCCGCTGCAGTTGCAGCAGCAGCAGCCGCTGCCAATGCGGCCTGCGAGGGTGGAGTGGGTAGAGGAGGGGGTGTCGTTGTGGTGATGGCTCCATTCACGACCGGCGACGCGCTGGCATTACGATTTGGGCGTGGCGGTGGTGGCGCTAAACTAGAGTGATGGAGTTGTGGCGACATAGGTGAGCGTGGCGCAATAGCACGGGCACTCTCCGGTGAATCAGGGGTCCGGCAGGTGCGCGCACCGTTGCCGTTCGGATTCGTGTTGTTCGAACTAGAGTTACAAGCCCCACTTGCACTACCCACACCAGTACAGCCGTTCGAATGCGAGTTATTGCTATTACTTGAGTCTTTGCCGGATGTGGAGTTCGAGGAGGAGTTTGCTGAAATGAGAAAAGGGCGAAATTGCCGTTATAAATGAATGAGAAATGTTGTAATTAGCGTTAGGTGGTTATGTTCTGTTTGGACAAGACTGCCGCAGGCACCACAACATCAACAGAATGGAAAATGCAATCAGGTTTTGCTGCCCGCTGCAAACTGAAAATTTAACAAAATTTGGCCAGCAGCTGCAACATGACCACCGATGCTGGTCAACTGGACACTCGGTGGGCCTGTGGGCGGCTGGGTGGCTTTGTGCATTCCTGTATTTATTATTGTTTCTGCCGAGTTGTCATGTTCAAAGCGTGCAGCACCCGAAACACGAGATTCCCATGTCCGTCCAACAGTTTCTCCGATGTTTCATTGTTGAGTTCGTGTGCTCGCGCAACCGCAAATGCCGAGATTTGTGTTACGTTGCTTCTGCCATTGACGCAGACTCAGTGCTGATACTGCTGACCCGAAGGATAAATGCTATGCTGTGTGGTGGTGCATGCGAAAGTACATGCCAACAGCTGACACATCATAAATGCATTAGTTGCAACATGAAGAAGGCATTTCGCTTCGTTGGTTTGTATTTCACATTTAAGTACTCATGCACACGTACATACATATGTACAACAACTTCAGCAATCTCCTGCTCTAGCCCTCTTATGCTTCCACGCCCTCGAGGGCAACTGACCGATGCAACAATCGTCCCTGCTTCGCTGCTGCACTTGGTCACACAAGCTCTTGTGGTGGTGTCTGAGTGTTGTGCTTTTGCAGGATGGGGCATACCACAGGAGGACGGCATGAGGTGACATCGCTAGCCATTAGCCATTGCTATGCGAGTGGGGGCAAGCAGGCAATTGCCGTATTTAGGTATTTGCGAACATGGCAAATAAATTAGTAACATTATGGACAAATTGCACTTGCACACGAGTTTTTCCCTGCCACTCGTGTTCTGTTGCAATTGCTGTCATTCTCGATGCCCGCTAGTACGGGTGTCTAAAGCGTAAACACGTGTTTCAACATTTGTTGCCAAGTACATGATTGCATTTTGTTGCCACATGTTCGGACATGGAAAACTTTAAAGAGTTTTCAGTTACAACACTTGACTGAAATCGACACAATAGGGGGAGGGACAACGAATTTGCTACCACCTAAACAAATTTAATAAATATTAGCCCACAACGAGGAAATCTTAACTAGCTTTCTCTAAGAGTAAAGAGTACCGATGTCCAAGAGAAAGGGATATGGAGAACATTGCTTTCTAAATTTCTTGCGGCTTTCATTTTACTGCCATCCTTAAATTGGCACGTCAAGCGCTCAGAAACTGTTAAAAATCATGCCCATACAACTTGTATGAAGCATCCCACAATAACGAGGCTTCAGCGTCGACAAATGGAATTGTCATTTTCGACAAGGCGGTACGTGTTGAAGTTGGATGCACAAGACGGAAAAACTTGAAGAAATGAGATAACGTCAAAAATTACGCCGCGCTGATTTGGGTATAGCGTGCACTGGCACTCGTTGGCATTGGAAAAGGCAACGCTTAACGCTGCAATTTAGGGACAGCAGTTAAAGGCCAACCTAATGCGCACCAATGTTGCCGTTTTAGCCCTTTGGTTGCTAGATTTAGCTACCACATACTTTTTTTGGCCACGTAAATTTAAAATTGCCCCTTGTCCCTATTTTAGCCCGTTGGAAAATTTATTCAAACTTTGTTGTACAAGTTGTATAGGTATGCTTGATCTAATTTTTTTCATTTATATATAAGATGAAATTTTAAACTAACTGACCGTCTCCACAGGATAAAATTTATTGCTGTCCAGCTGTCATTGTGGTTGCTAGATATAAGTTATATCAGTGGCAATATTTGTGTGGGCTTGTTATATCTTGATAAAAGCGTTTTTAAGATGAAGAGAATTTAATCGCTTACAAAATTAGAAAATAGGTTGTTTTACATTCAAGTACATAATGATAAATATTTTAATAGACAGCAGCTAAATTTTTGCTTTTATATTAAAATTATCAATAATGTTGCCGCCACAAAGTTTTCGTGCAAATGAAAATGTAGCTGTCAAACTTCCAAATTGGCGGCAATAGATGACAAGAAATAAGCTTCGATATATATTGCTCTTGAAGAGCAATGGGGGTCTAAATTGTATATTTATATTCTAATATATGTATCAAGATGTAACCTTATCCTATGGAGACGGGCAGTAAGAAAGACTCTGATATATATGTATATGTACATTAAAGTGGTCAAAAAATGTATGTAAAAAAATAAGGTCGGAGTTTTAATGCCGCCACCCCCTAGGATTGTTATATGTGACCTGGTCTACGAAAAGGGAGCTTACGTGCGAAAACTAGTTTTCTGTGAAAAAGCTGTTAAAAGTAAGCAACTCGTTTCGTCAGTTTCTCATTATCTCGTTAATGGTTCTCCGCGCCGGACGTCCAGTAAGTGTTGTTGTTGGTCCAGTAAGTGTTGTTGTTGGTCCAGTAAGTGTTGTTGTTGGTCGGAATATTATTATAGTTATTTTATATATTATTATATTATTATTTTATATATTATT